AAACATTATGTTTATGACGTTTACGAAAACGATTCATCATATTATTTAATACCAGGTCACAAAAAAGAAATTCCTAAAATGTTTATCGTAATTTAGAAATCAATATATCGAAAACAGCCCAACGAATAATCGATTAATTTCCGTTTTGTCAGTTTTCTTTCATGTTTCTCTGTTTTATTCGAACCACTGATTTACAAAACACCTTGAAAAGCGCACATTGCTTTGAATACCGTCTCTTATCGCCACTTTACGAACTACTTTCAATCTAAGAAAATACATGTTTCACTCCACAATTTTAAATACGTATTTTGCTTTTTCGCTATTTTTTCGATATATTTCAACAGCCCATCCGTCGCTCGTCGGCCAAGAGTGCCACGTGTGAACTGGTCCTTTGAGCCGCGCCGTCGTGGCGGGCTTGCGTCAGACGACGATGTTAAGCAACGTTGCCGTAGTTACAACAATTTCAAATTCAAGACATTCGAAGCAATCAAATCTGTATTAAATTTTAAAAAATAAAAACAGAGACACATGAAAGGAAACAAACAAAACAAAAATGAATTGATTATTCTTCGGGCTGTTTTCGATATATTGAATTCTGAATTACGATAAACATTTTAGAAATTTCTTTTTTGTAACCTTATCAATAATCAATTCATTTGTGTTTTGTTTGTTTTCTTTCATGCTTTTCTGTTTTAGTTTTAAAATTTAATAAGAATTTGATTGCTTCAAGTGTCTTGAATTTGAAATTGTTGAAACTACGGCAACCTCGCATGACGCAAGCTCGACAAGCCGGCGCGACAAAGGAGCAGTGAGCAGCAGTGTTGCCAACTTAGCGGAATATCCGCTAGATTTAGGGGAATTTAATTTGATTTGACGGAAAACTATAAGCAGTTGTGGCCAGCGGATTTTTTAGCGGAAAACGCAAGTCCACTTTGATGCAATACTACGCTTGATATGATATAATAAAAGGATTAGATAAGTGTCATCAATGATTACATTTCACCTCTTTGATGTCCTTAACAAAATAGGTACTGAAAGAATGTTTATGATGATATGAGTTGATTGATTTTAATATAGATCAACACCATATAAATACGTGATTTCTGAATTTGTGTTATTTTATTTCTTTTTGAGTTGTTTTTAGACATCAGAGATGGGCAATGAGAATACATAAAACTTGCTTTTTGTATTTTCCGATAATAAAGACTGGATCGTGTTCAAAATAGTACATTGCGTTTATGAATTCAGTTAAATATTACATGATGATGGCAATAACAAAAACACAGCATCAAAATCATAAAGTTCAAATGCATAGAGAAATATAAGGTCTCTAGTTCCTCGGGAAATAAAACCGTCCATAATTTCTGCACGCACAAACACAAAACAAAACAAAGTTTATGCTGGCAACTGGTGTACCTAATTTCTAACAAAATTCCAAAATCTCAAAACAAAATTGTAAACAATTGCAAAATACAAATAATTTGCTGTCATGTCACTTGTCATTTCCTTGCGTGACGCGTGACGAGTAACAGAATGGCGACGCTTTGGAGCCCCAACTGAGCTTATGCAACATTATGGCCAAGTTAGACAACCTTTCAAACACTCACTTTTATTTTAGTTACTTTATGGTGCCACGTGTGAACTGGAAACTTTAGGCCGCGCCGTCGTTGGTGGGCTTGCGTCGAACGACGATGTTATGCAACGTTGCCGTAGTTACAACAATTTCAAATTGAACATTCGAAGCAATCAAATTCATATTAAAAATTTTAAAAATAAAACAGATAAACATGAAAGGAAACAAACAAACAAAAATGAATTGATTATTCTTCGAACTGTTTTTCGATATATTGAATTCTGAATTGCGATAAACATTTTAGATTTTTTTTCCTGACCTTATCAATAATCAATTCATTTGTGTTTGCCTTGTTTCTTTCATGCTTTTCTGTTTTTATTTAAAATTTAATAAGAATTTGATTGCTTCAAATGTCTTGAATTTGAAATTATTTGAAACTACGGCAACCTCGCATGACGCAAGCTCGACACGCCGGCGCGACAAAGGGAGCAGTGAGCAGTTACCAAACCAGGCGATGCGCGACTGTCTTGGTCGACGGTTGGGCTGTCGACGGAATTGTCGAAATACATCGAAAAAATAGCGAAAAAACAAAATACGTATTTAAAATTGTTGAGTGAAACATGTATTTTCTTAGATTGAAAGTAGTTCGTAAAGTGGCGGTAAGAGACAATAATTGTCAACATTTATTCATTCAGAAAGGTATTCAAAGTAATGTGTGCTTTTCAAGGTGTTTTGTAAATCAGTAGTTCAAATTATGACGAAGCCTATATGAAAATAATGTATTAAGTTAAAAATGGGGACTGTTATTTTAGCAGTTTTTATAATAGCATGTACAAGTAAAGCAGCACAATGAAGTGTATTTTAGTTAAGTGTGTATTGAAAAAGAGAACTGTCGCAGTTACATCGATCTGTCATTGTCTCTTTTTTGGGTAATTTTTGGTATGTTGGGTAAGTTTTTTAATTTTACTTTTTTAACTTTTAAACATTTAACTTTTAATTTATTTTATGTAATAACATCACAATCTTAAAAATGTAATGAATCTCTGCATTACATTTGGCAAACTCCTCAGGTGTTGTGATTTTATGACTTACTTTTAACATATACTTTCTTGTCCATATGGCAACACAGTGCGTCGAATTAACTGAAATCCGGGCTTGATCCGGGTAATTGGATGTAGTTGGCGATATCTGCCGGCGGTTCTCAAAATGTCGCGATAATTTTTTTAAATTTTCAAAGTTAAATAACTCGGTTATTTTCAATTTATTTTAAAAATGGTAAAGAGAAAATATGTTTATTTTGACCAGATCTACCACCCCTTAAAATATCTGCACTTATTTCTGGGACAGCCTGTATAACAAAGATACCCGAAATATACAAACCAGATAAAAAGACAAAAATGGTAAGTTGCCAATTGTTTATTAAAATGATGTATTAACGAAGATTGTATATGATTATTATTAGACACTTGCTGATTTCGTTTATTATCCAGGGTTAATCGAGGGGTTGTTTTTTACCCTAACTTTAAAACACCCTGTGCAATAACTTCGTGAATAAAATTTCCTAAAACATTATTTTATGATTAGAACCATGAATCCCGAGCGTTTTATTTTTTGATCCATGTTAACAAATGTCTTAGTTAGTTATTATTAAGAGCGAAATGAACTTGCCACCAACAATTTGCAATTTTTTTAATTATCATTACTTTTTGATGTTTTTCTCTTAATAAGACGAGGTGGCTTTTGTCGTAATGTCATCTTGACAGTTACATTTTGTATACCTGTGTCCCCTAAGCTACCTTGTCATATTAAAAAATAACACCAAAAAGTAATGATAATTGAGAAAATTGCAAATTGTTGGTGGCAAGTTCATTTCGCTCTTAAAAATTAACCAAGGCCTTTCTTGACATAGATCAAAAAATCAAACGCTCGAGATTCATGCTTCTAATCATAAAACATTGTTCTAGGAAATTTTATTCACGAAGTTATTGCACAGGGTTTTAAAAGTTACGGTAAAAAACAACCCCTCGATTAACCCTGTATAATAAGCCTAATACTCAAGTTTATAGAAAACTCAGTTTATGCATTCAATTTGACATCTTTATATACAGTTTGTTAAAAAGTCTTATGCACAGTTTGCTAAAAAAATCATGAAAATAGAGCTACAAATAAAAAAATATAATACTTTAAATTTGAGGGAAAAATTTTCCTTTGGGTTTTTTGCCTCTGAGGTATAATGATCCTAGTACATATATGTTTTCATTGTATTATAAATATCTTTTGTCGTGCTTTTTTATTTAATGATTTATAGATTTAGGTATAGATGTCTTAGTAAAATAATATTAGAGCTTATAAAAATATTTTAAACTATATACTGGCATGTGAAGTTCATGAAATTACTTAACTAAATATAGAGTGGGCTATGTTATTATCAATCCAAGAATAAATACATGCTTATACAGGCATATTGAGAAAAAAAATTGGTATTTTATTTTTTAAAATCTGTATTAATTAGTTCGTGAAGTATTAAAATCTATATTGAAAAAATAATCAAAAAAAGAAACATGTATAACATGGTCAATGTTCTTGGACTATGGGGATACAAACATCACATAAAAAAATATCGATAATCGTTCAAAACCAGGCAACTGTCAACATACTTTAAGTTGTCAGTCAAATAAGTTTAATGTTAAATGCAATTTGTTGTTCTGTCTACAATACCACGGTATAGTACAAACGGTTAGTGTGCCTAAAACGTATTTTTGTAATTTAAAACTTGATCGAAATAGGCAAAAACCTAAAATTTAAAGCTTCATTCAGAATCTCACCATTAGTGAAATAAATTAGTGGTTTCAATTAGCGTAGAAGTTTGTTTTTATTTGGTTTTCTCTATTTTACTAATCAGTGGACAGATAACTTCCCCAGTAGCATTATTGGCTCAACATTGATTTTATACTGGTAAATATATTGTATATGGGCCCAATATAGGCAGTTTCTAGCCAATATTGGTAATATATATGAGTTGTACCTTTTACCTATATATATTTATCCAATATTGTTCCAACACGCGCACAGCATATTGAGCAGTAACTAATATTTATATTTATATGTAATATTTACCCAATATTGGTAATATATAAAAGATATACTATTTTTCTATATCTATATAGAATATTCACCTTTTAACCATATCTTTAATATCGGATTCATATAAAAAATATATATTGGGCCATTAAAAAAATTCTGTCCATTCCATCGTTGGGTCAATATGTAAATATAAAATTTTACCTATATTGCTGTGCTACAGTGGTTATAAGTGCCGAAAATTTAAAATAGATGGCTCTGGTTCTTCGAAAACATCGATTATTTCCAATAGTAGACCGTCGATGGTAGACATCGATCTATCGTTTGCATCCCTACTTTAGACGTATTAATTTTGCGTTGCTACTCTTTGACCAGCGAGTTTCATTCTTTCTTCCTGAGCATGGATAGTTAAGTAATGACTTTTCAGGCTGGATTTCTGAGTGAAATGCCTAGAACAGTAGGGGCATTGGAACTGGGGTCTGATGCCACATTCGTACTTCATGTGCCTTTTTACACTACTCCTGTAAGTGTACCTTTTATCGCACTGGGAACACTTGAAGAAACCTTCAGCGTCGGGTACCAGATGAGGATCAGTATAGGCTAAAAAATTAATTTTATTGTTATAATATAGGTACATTTCTTAAAATTAAATACTCAAAAAGTACAGTTAAATACCTGAAAAAAATATTTTCAAGAAGTAACATGCTAAAATGGAATGTGTTTAAGTAACGGATCAATAGTAATTTTTGTACTTTGGTGATCGACACTTGGATTTTTTAACGTAGGCGTAGACGAGTTGAAAAATTAATCGAAATCACCAAAGTAGTTCGCGCACGAGTTGCAAACAACATTTTTTCTACAAACATTAAAATCGGGATATCCCTAAAAATTATTATTATTATATTATTGCTTCGAAAAAAAAGCGTGAGCTTGGAATGTATATTTTTTTTATTACTGAACATCGTCATCGATTTTCTTTTAGGTCGTTTTAATAGTTGGTATTTTTGGTGCTTGCCGCCGTGAGGAACTTACTAAAATGACGGTCGATAACATAGAAGATAAAGATTCAATTTTTATTGTTAAAGTACCCAAATAACAAAATTCCGACTTCCGACTAGTTTTGACTACGCGCAACGTTGAAATTGGTATTTTTCCCTACCCTATGCATACCCAAACCTCAAATTACGTAGCAAAAACGCCGCTACGACGTTGCACTTAAACAGTTTATATTTTGACCCTTAACAACGTTGCTAAACGTTGTAGGGCACAACGTTGTTAGAAGTTGGGTTTTATACCGTTGTCATTACGTCGCCAGAAGGCATGTTTATTGTACTACAGAATAACAAACGTAGTACAACGTTGTGCAACGTACTTTTAAATTACGAGTGTAAGTACATGCTAACTACAACGTAATACAACGTTTCATTAAACGACCCAAAGCAACTTCAAAATTATAACCAATTACTACCGTAAAATGGGGTGAATAGAAACATAGGGGTGAATAGAAACAAAATTTCTGAAAAAAATCAAATCACGATTAAAAATATTCAAAGTAAAAAGAGTCGACATATCTAATTTTTCTATCATTGATAATACACAATAAAATGTAAAAACTATATTTTTATCTGTGGCAGCACTGTTTCTGTCAATCAGCTGATCAATAAATGTGAGATCGATTTATCACCTATTTTGTATGGCGCGAAAACTTTATAAATAAAATATTTATTTTTAAAGTAATACTTATGCTGGTACATGTAAGTTGTTATATTATATGTATTATTAATTATTGCTAAACCTACTTAAATATGTAATAATTATCTGTTTCTAATCACCTTGTTGGAAATAGAATAGATAAAAACCTTAACATCAATGTGTGTTTCTAATCTCCCGAATAGCAGGTGAATAGAAACACAAAAGTTATTTTTATTTAATATTTATATGCATATTTTTCAAAAATCAAATTATATGTATACGCAAAGAACAAACAAAGACCCATGTTTTAAAATATTCGGGAACATAATACCACATTTTTATCAACCGGTATATCGCTAATAGCCTACGAAACTGTTTCTATTCACCCCATTTTAAGCCGGGTCCACATATGTAGCACTCTATTGTATCAGGATCATGTATCACGTATCAAGAGTATGGGTCGTAAGTATGGACGTTTATTTGGGCTGTGTCGACTGAATATGCATATCGTGCCAAAGTAAGCGTCCATACTTATAAAATTCATACGTATCAGCTTACAAGCGTGCGTATCAGTGTATGCGGACGGTACAACAAATCACCTTGTATCGTCGTATCATGTTCATCAATTCTCATTTATATTATCAGGACGGAACCCTCAATGCCCCTTTGATGATCGGAGAAAAACCGCCTCAAGACGGGTCACGGCGTATCAAGTCAATTGTATCGTTCTACTGTATCAAAACACGTCCAAATGACAGATCGTGATACGTGTATCCGATATGCAGTGTTAAGATACGCGCAAAAATTCGGATTGGCATCGATCAGATACGGTATCACAAAGGTGTACCATATGATCGCGTTAATTCTGCGTCCAAACTAGCGATCATGATACATGTTGGTGCAACGCGACAGAGATATGATACACCAAGATGCTACATATGTGGACCCGGCTCAACGTACCGTAAGGCCGGGTCCACATATGTAGCAAATTGCTGTATCATATCTCCGTCGCGTTGCACCAACATGTATCATGATCGCTAGTTTGGACGCCGAATTAACGCGATCATATGGTACACCTTTGTAATACCGTATCTGATACATGCCAATTCGAATTTTGGCGCGTAGCTTAACACTGCGTATCGGATACACGTATCACGATCTGTCATTTGGACGTGTTTTGATACAGTATAACGATACAATTGACTTGATACGGCCGTGACCCGTCTTGAGGCGGTTTTTCTCCGATCATCAAAGAGGCATCGAGGGTTCGCTGACAAGTTCGGATAAACATGATATGACGATACAAGGTGATTTGTTGTACCGTCCACATACACTGATACGCACACTTGTACGTTGATACGTATGAATTTTATAAGTATGGACGCTTACTTTAGCACGATATGCATATTCAGTCGACACAGCCCAAATAAACGTCCATACTTAAAATACAGGCTCTTGATACGTGATACATGATCCTGATACAATAGAGTGCTACATATGTGGACCCGGCTTTGGATTACGGCGACGAGTGCGACGATATCGATTTTTGTTGTGGAAGCGGAACTATCTACACCTAACCTCAAAAAATTCTGTACTGTACTGTAACAGAACAATATTTTGGCATAATAAGGTATAAAACTTGGTATAAAACTAGTAAAAGTTAAATACCAGATTTTGCCAACCGTATGCATACAATAGAATTATACAATATTGAAATACATCAAAAGCTTTAAGATGTCTATTTTTCGGGCCAGTCAGTCTATGAAGTCAGTAGTTTTGACATTTTAAAAACGATTATATAAAATTTCAAAATAAAAAACAATTTCAATAAAAAAATATATTATTTCATACGACATTTTAAAAATTCTGAAGATAGACAAGAACTTATGTAAATCAAGAGAAAAGGTGTTATTTTGAAACAAATTCAGGCAAATACTGACAATTAAAACAGAAACATTAAAGATTTCTTTATAGACATTTATTTATTTTAAGAAAAAACTACAACATACACATATTACATTATAATTATTATTAATTATTATATTTTTTTTTATTTTACACATATTATTACTCGCGCAAAGAAGTTATGCCATGGATTGTCCTGGCGTGTCTTTTTAAAGCGCCTTCCAGGTGGCATACAAATGGACAGCTGGCTACAGGACAGAAAAAGGAAGGATCGATGCCACAGATCTTCAGGTGATAATTATAGGAGGGTTTCACGTTGTACCCACGCGCACATTTTGGACAAATATACAAATAACCTAAAAAAACATGAATTAATAAAACTATAAAAAAAATCTTTCTGATAATATTTATGCACAAGTAAAGTGTCGATAATTTTAAGTATTCTTTAACCATTTATTTTTATTTTCAATTATTCTACTACAATAAAATAGAAAAATAATAATAAATGTTGTATAAAATTATCAAAATCAAATAATTACTAACTGAAAAAAAACAATAAACTAATATTAAATATAATATTGTTATAGAAAATTTTCAATTTATTTGAAACATGGGTCGCGCCTCTCATACGCCGCGGAAGATCCAAGGAGAATGGTAGCTTATATCGAAATTAAATTGTAGTATAACTGAGGTTATATGTAGGTTAACTGAAAGCATTTTACAAAAATATATAGAATTATACAGGGTGTCCCCAAAAAAAGTTACACATCAAAGTTGTGTTTTTTTCTAATGGAACACTCTATATATTAATTGATTTTCGGATTCTAGGAAAAAAATAAAGGTGAGTTTTATTAAAGAAGCATATACCTAAAATCTAAGGATTTTGACATATTTCACATTGTGTGAAAATGAAGAGTAAATTTTAAATTTCGATAACAGCTACCTAAATTTTAGTTCACCTCATATAGCCTGATATTTAATTACAGTAATTATTGTATGTTAAACCAAATTGAAATTTGACCCGAAAAATTATACAGGGTGAGACAAAATGAATATGGAACATTAGTCACTTTTAAAAGCAAGTTGCTCTTTTATTTTAAATGGAATACCCAGAGTATATTATTCCGGTATTCAATAAAGAATTTATATATCTTCAAATTATTATTAAGGTTGCCTACCCCTTAAACAAAGATTTTCCTAGATATTTTAATTTTTATGATTTTACGTCAGTAGATCTTTATTATTTGAAAAATCTAGGGGGTGGCTATGATATACCTTTTGTTAATTTAACAAATATTAAAGAATGTAGAGTAAAACATCATTCACCAATTAATAGAAGCATATCAATTCTCTCTGACGTATTATAAATTTGCGTTTTCGGCAAATTTTTGAGAATTTTTTTTGTTTTAACTTACATAAAATGATAACTAGTTGTTAAAGTTGGACTAATTAAACAGCTATGTTGAAGTAACGCCCCCTAGATTTTATCAAATAATAAAGATCTGCTCAGATCAAAGCATGTAAATGAAAATATCTAGGAAAATCTTTATTTGAGGGGTAGGCATTCTTTATAGTATTTTGAAGAGACATGAATTCTCTATTGAATATCGGAATAATATACTAGGTGTTCCATTTAAAATAAAAGAATAACATGCTTTTAAAGGTGTACGATGTTCAATATTAATTTTGTCTCACCCTGTATGAATTTTTGAATCAACTTTTAATTTGATTTAAAGTAGAATAGTTAGTTCAAAGGATCAAAGGGTACAAAGGATCACCAACAATGAAGTACTCCAGCGCATGCAGAAACAAAAAGAGATACTGAACACAATCAAGGAAAGAAAAATGCAATACCTGGGTCATGTGATGAGAGGTGGTAGATACGAAATACTGCGCCTCATAATAGAGGGCAAAGTGCAAGGGAAAAGATCAGTAGGAAGACGCCAGAACTCATGGCTAAAAGATTTGAGGAGATGGTTTGAACGCTCGTCTGTGGAAATCTTCCGGGCTGCAGTTTCCAGAGCCACAATTGCCATTTGGATCGCCAACCTTCGGCAGGAGAGGGCGTGATAAGAAAAAGTTAGTTTAACTACATATTAGGCTATACCGAGTAAATTCCAATTTAGGTAGCTTTTACTGTAATTTAAAAATTGTTCTTTATTTCTAAATATGTCAAAAACCTTACATTTTAGTCACATACTTTATTATTAACATATCTTTATTTTTCTCCCAGAATCCAAAACTCAATTAATATATTAGGTGTTCCATTACAAAAACACAACTTTAATATGTATTTTTTTGGGGGACACCCTGTAGAACTCTCTATATTTTCAAAAAGTGCTCTGAATTAACCTACATCTGCTCACAAAATTTCATTTCAATACAAACTGTCGTTCTCCTTGGATCCTCCGCGGCGTATGAGAGGCGCCACCCTGTATAGTACACAGTTAAAGCAAACTCAGAAACTTACGTTACAGTTCGCTGTGGTGGTAATTTTTTGATAACAATGATTAACAAGATTCACAGGATATGCTTACTTAAATTTGATTCTACCTTTTAGAATCGTCATATGGATATAGAAAAAATGAATTATATTTTAGCTTATGATAAAGCTACTATATGTAAGTTTCCATCAGTCTTTGACCGTTCTTTGACTGTCTTATTATAATATGTCAGAGATACTTGGCTTAATAATTAAAGACAAATAAACACAAGCAAAGTGCTTTATTCCAATATTGTAACAATTCAGAAACCGCATGAGTTAGCTAAAAGTGCCACAAAAGTTTTATTAATGCGAATTATAGTCTGTCCAACGAGTTGGGGAAAATTTCGACAGACTACCTCTTAAAAATGACAGAAAATGACTGTCACTGTCAGAGATCCTTTCGTTGGACAGGCTTTATTCGTTTTCTTTGTAGATCATAGAGCTGAAAATGGGAGATAAAAGAAAAATGTGAAAAGTTCATTAGTTTTAGTGAATAAAATGTCTATTGAAAAACTCTCGAAGTTATTCCCTTAGCATTTCCTAGTGATTGCTAATATTTACTGGATTTCCAACTTTCTGCGTAAGTGTAAAGATAAATTTTGGACTTCTTAATATGGCGTTTCTGTTTGACTGGCAAGTTTCTTTCTGCCTAGCTCAGAATGAACGGTTTTATAGTGACTTTTCAAGCTGGATTTCTGAGTGAAATGATTGTAACAGTAGGTGCATCTGAACCGAGACTTTGTACCGCATTCGTACGTCATGTGCCTTTTTAGGCTACCCTTGTAATTGTACTTTTTGTCGCACTGAGGACACTGGAAGAAGCCTTCGGCATTTGGTAGCAGATGGGGTTCAGTATATTTAACTAGAAAGTTTAATTTTAATAGATATTATATTAAAGTAAATAAAAAATAAAGAAATAATGCGGTTAAAAACCGTGGATAAAGTATTTTCAATAAGTGACACGTTAAAAGGGGATGGGCTTAAAAAAATAATAAGCATTAGTTATTACGGTAATACTTTTATATGACATAATGTACTATAATGTAAATTAAACTAGGATTTTTTATACATTATTGATTAATATGAAAGTATAAAAGTGAGACCAGGGATCAGTGATACTTTTGAAATAATAGTACAAAATAATAAGCCTCTCTATGTTTAAGTGACCAGACGTCCAGATTATGACATATCGTAAAGAGAGTATCCAATATGGCTGATACCGTTTTCGCAACAATTGTAGCGCCTACTGTTCTTGAAAAATGTGTTCGCTATTTTTTGCCCTACCGCCTGCCTTCGTCATTGGTTGATTCTTGACTCAGTGTTGCCAGAATTAAAGAATGTCCTTCAATATGAAGGATTTTACAGTCAAATTTCGTCGATTAAAGGTCTGAAGGATTTTTATCCAAAAAGAAGACAATTTGAAGGTTTCTGACAGTTTTGCACAATAAACATTGTTAAAATATAACATGTAAGAGTATGTATGTATTGTTTTTCTTACATATATTTGTTCACTTCACCTCAGTTTAAAGCATTGTTGCTGTCAAAAAGTCCGCAATTCGATAATTATTCTCGGTTCAAGAAGTCATTGTAAGCATTTAATTTTTTGAAACTTACTTTATAATACTGCTGTCGAGTATCTATCACAGCATTTTTGATCGTGTTACTTTTTTTTAAGAAAAAGTTTATTCAAACACACCGGTGTCCAAAAATTACCAGAAATAAGTTTTTAAAAATGTTCTCCTATTTATAAAATAGGTAAAATACACGAAATTTGGTCATTTTTCACAAGATTTCGATTCTTTTTGTAAAGTTGAAGGAATATGAATGTTTTTTAAAGCTCCGTTGAAGAAATTCGCTAGAAAATGTCTGGCAATACTGGTTGTCCACTAGGCTGGATACACACAGAGAGCGCACAACAGTATTAGTCAAGCGACACGTATAGCAACGGCGCGGCGCGGCGCGGCGGGGTGGAGTAGGTACAGTCTCTTCGAAACATAATTTTTTTATAAAAGATACTTATTTTATCCGGGACAAAAACGTTTTTGACTAAAACTGTTAGGCTCATTTAGGCACAGTTAGGCCGTGGCCCAACAAAGCTGCACGCGTATAGCGTACGGCGGAGAGGAATGAGTACAGTCCCTTCAAAACATAATTTCTTTATAAAACATAACGATTTTGTCAGGGAAAAAAACGTTTTTGACTAAAACTGTTAGGCCCATTTAGGCACAGTTAGGCTGTGGCCCAACATAGCTGCAAGCGTAGAGCCACGCGTATAGCGTACGGCGCAGAGGAGTGGGTACAATCTCTTCGAAACATAATCTTTTTATAAAAGATACTTATTTTGTCCGGGACAAAAACGTTTTTGACTAAAACTGTTAGGCTCATTTAGGCATAGTTAGGCCGTGACTCAACTTAGCTGCACGCGTATAGCGTACGGCGGAGAGGAGTGAGTACAGTCTCTTCGAAACATTTTTTTATAAAACATAACTATTTTGTCCGGGAAAAAAACGTTTTTGACTAAAACTGTTAGGCTCATTTAGGCAAAGTTAGACCGTGGCCCAACATAGCTACACGCGTAGAGCGACGCGTATAGCGTACGGCGGAGAGGAGTGGGTACAATCTCTTCGAAACATAGTCTTTTTATAAAAGATACTTATTTTGTCCGGGACAAAAACGTTTTTGACTAAAACTGTTAGGCTCATTTAGGCATAGTTAGGCCGTGACTCAACTTAGCTGCACGCGTATAGCGTACGGCGGAGAGGAGTGAGTACAGTCTCTTCGAAACATTTTTTTTATAAAACATAACGATTTTGTCCGGGAAAAAAACGTTTTTGAGTAAAACTGTTAGGCTCATTTAGGCACAGTTAGACCGTAGCCCAACATAGCTGCACGCGTAGAGTGACGCGTATAGCGTACGGCGGAGAGGAGTGGGTACAATCTCTTCGAAACATAATCTTTTTATAAAAGATACTTATTTTGTCCGGGACAAAAACGTTTTTGACTAAAACTGTTAGGCTCATTTAGGCATAGTTAGGCCGTGACTCAACTTAGCTGCACACGTACGGCGGAGAGGAGTGGGTACAGTCTCTTCGAAACTTTGTTTTTATAAAGCATAACGATTTTGTCCGGGACAAAAACGTTTTTGACTAAAACTGTTAGGCTCATTTAGGCACAGTTAGGTCGTGGCCCAACATAGCTGTACGCGTAGAGCGACGCGTATCGCGTACGGCGGAGAGGAGTGGGTACAGCCCCTTCGAAACATATTTTTTTATAAAACGATTTTGCCCGGGACAAAAACGTTTATTGACTAAAACAGTTTTGCTCCTTCTGTGTGTATCCAGCCTTATTCTATATAATTATGAGATCAAAATAAAACACTATGACAATCAAAAATATAAATAAAAAATACGACATCTATCGATTGAACGTTGAAACTATATCTAATAATCATATCTGCCCTTTCTGCATCTTTTTTCACCCCCATGAACCGTCAACATGTGAGTTTTTAAGTTGGATTTTTGCGCGAAATTCCTGAAACAGCTCGGACATTGGAACTGGGGACTCTGGCCGCACTCGTACTTGATGTGTCTAGACAAATTGTTCTTGTAAGAATACATTTTGTTGCACCTCGGGCACATGTGCACGCCCTTATCTTTGCTTCTGGGTGTCCAGTCGTTCCCTAAAAAGATATTTCAAATTAGAAACATTCAAATTAATTTGAATATACGGGATGTCATAGCTCCGATCCTGCTTTGTTTCGTAGCTACAGGGTGTTAAAATCTTAATATGTTTTCAATTTTTTATATTTTTCTTCCAAGTACTTTAAGCGTTTCGAATAAAATTTCGAGAGTAAATGTTACTATAAATGCGACATATTTAAAGCTAAAAAAGCGTCAACATATGCACCAGGGACGTGCATATGGGTTATCACTGGAATATTTTTCTGAAAAAAGCATGTACGCCACTGACTTTTTTTCTCTTGTTAGCGAAATAGTGTAAGCAGTGTAATGCCGATTAAAAGTTGTCTTTTCATATCTTGTCGATTTCGGCCTCCTTGATGAAATAAACGCAATTTTATTAATTTGCCTTGATCGAAATCTAATATCAACCTTAAAAAATTTTAATATCATTAACTTGCGAAAGTTTTAAATAAGAACTCACTGATTCCTCCTCAAAATATATGAAAAAAGTTCCTATAAACATGGGCATGGAAATGCATAGTTTTAGAGTTACAGGATGTTATACAGATTTTTAAAATTAGGTCTTTTGTAATCCTTAAATATCATGATTTTTTTATTTGAAATTGCTGTATGTTGTACTAATAGTAATAATAATTAATGTTTTAAACATGTTTTTTTTGAAAAATATTCCTATGTTGATATGAAAAATAAATTTAATTCTTACGTGAGAAATCTCCCCACGAGAGATGGCACATGTTTTTTGAAACACCCTGTATATAAATCCGTCGTGCATCGTCTCTTGTTGTTTTTAACCAGTTTTATTGGTTTATTTCAAAAATGACAGATAATATTTCCATATTATTGGTTTGACGGAACGATGAACGACAAACCGATGCCGATACGTATGAACTCGACTTAAGATTTTTGAGAGTTGTCAAACTCTTGCCAAATTATAGGTTATTTTGTGTCAAATTGTGTCAAATAGAAATGATAAATATATTTTGCATTTTGGACTGTGTTATTACGTGTGTTTCGTGTTTTTTAAAATTAAGTGGAGGAAAACTCGAAGGAAAATTAAGTGTTGACCCAGATCATAGTTTAGAGTCAAAATTCGGTACCCAGAGAACGTCAGAGTCACAGTTTGCCAGATTCTGTGGCCAGAGAGTTGTATTAGCTACAAAAAGTTTGTATACCTGGTCGTATATGGTAGTATGCCTTGTATGGTTTGTATTAATCTTCATACCCAAAATAGGCAAAACTGACTGGACAAATCCCAAGTCATTTAGGCCTATTAGTCTCACATCGTTCATACTAAAAACGCTGGAGAAAGTAGTTGACAACCATATTGGAGAAAATCATCTAAAGGTTTGACACTGCATGATAGTCAGCATGCATATAGAACGGGCAGATCCACAGAAACTGCTCTGTACCAATTAACGGAGCTAATACAGACAAGTCTGGATAGCAAAGAAACAGCAATTTGTGTCTTCTTGGATATTGCGGGGGCGTTTGACAATATACCACATAAGGTGGTCAGGCGATCTCTAGAAACAAGAGGGGTGAACAGAACTATTATTCGCTGGTTTTGGGAAATGCTGTCAACACGAACAGCAGAGGCTCAGATGGGCACCAAAACTGTAGCTGTTAAAACAACGCAAGGAACTTCCACAAAGGTGGAGTAACCTCCCCTTTGCTGTGGAGCTTGGTAGTGGATGAACTACTAGACGAATTAACTCTAGCGGGAATACACTGCATTGGGTATGCAGATGACATAGTCATCATCGCTCGGGGGAAAAGGCACCCTGTGTAATATTATCCAAAGACGACTCCGTATCACTGAGAGATGGTGTAGGACTGTCGTGCTGAGTATCAACTCAGACAAAACCGCGATAGTGCCATTCACCAGAAAGCGAAGTCTGAAAAACTTGAAAAGAATTCAACTAGATGGAAAGGTAATACTGCCAACACAGGAAGTTAAATATCTGGGAATAACCCTGGACAGTAAACTCCTGTGGAACAGGCATATTAAGAACACTACCAGCAAAGCCATAAAGGCTCTCATGATATGCAGAAGACTGGCCGGAAATAGATGGGGCTGCTCCCCTAACACTTTGCGCTGGATGTATACCATGATAGTAAGACCCATGATTACTTATGGAGCAGTTGCCTGGTTCACAAAACTAGAGCAACGGACGGCAAGGCTAAACTTGTGCAAAGTCCAGAGACTAGCATGCGTTTGTATCACAGGAGCCATGAAAACCTGTCCAACAGCAGCAATGGAGGTCATTCTAGATCTAACACCACTGCACATTGTCATTGGTAGAGATGCCCATGCGACAATGATTAGAATGGTCACTAACGGAATTAGAACTGGGAGAATTGTCAGATCAGGGGCTTGGAACACCCTCAAAAAGGAAATACCACTCCTGAAACTCCCAGTGGACGATATGCCAAGAACGTACAACTTTGAGAAAATCTCAATGTAGTATTGAACAATAAAAATGATTGGAAGAGCGAAACGCTTGCCCAGCAGTTAAAAGACCATACCATAACTTGGTATACTGATGCTTCCAAAACCAATACGGGAACAGGGATCGGAGTGTTTGGACCGAGAGCTAAATACTCCGAACCAATGGGCACTTACCCTAGTATCCTACAGGCAGAAATCTACGCTATCGAAAGATGCGTACAACTTATCTTAGATAGCAACTATCGGAAACAAGAAACAGCCATCTTGTCTGATAGTCAAGCAGCGTTAAAAGCGATCAACTCAGTATCGATCAATTCGAAATTGGTCAAAGAATGCATAGAGAAGCTGAATAAATTAGGCAAAGAAAACAAAGTCCTCCTACTCTGGGTGCCTGCTCACCAAGGGATAGAAGGCAATGAAAAAGCAAATAATCTAGCTAGGAAAGGAGCTAACACTCCACTAACTGGACCAGAACCGTTCTGCTTTCCAAGTGGTAACCAACTCAAGGCGGAACTCAAGAACTTGGAAGATTCCATCCGCAACCTGGAATGGAAATCTTGCAATGGTCAGGACACTCGAAGAAGTTTCTGAGGGCTTATGATCAAGAAAAATCACAGATCTTCCTGGGTCTGAGTAAAAACAATCTTTGGATTCTCACGGGGTTTTTAACAGGACACTGTCTCCTCAATGAACACCTCAGTAGATTGAAACTAAGAAGAAACGGCGAATGCAGATTCTGTGGGGAAGATGGTGAAACACCAGTACACCTCATCACTGAGTGCGCCGAGACGACAACCATTCGTGCCATGAATTTTGGTACGACTGATATTGGAGATGGAGAACTACCCTCTATAAAACCGTCCCAGATACTGGCTTTTGTCAAAGCCCTGGGACTGTATGATGAGTTATGATTCAAGAAAGGGGGACACATTGGATCTGTAAGGTCGAAGTGATTAACCCCCCTCCCACTCATTCTAAATTCTAAAAATTCTAATGGTTTGTATACCTTCTGGAGTATCTGTAAAATAACATCACAGAATAGGTAAATAATACATTTTAGTACTGCAGAGAGATAATTTTAAAAAAATTAAGGTTAAAGTTAATTAATCAACTTTTAAGGTATAATTTTTTTTTGTTTGTATAAAGTTTTATTTATTCGTTTGCAATATATTTTTTTTTGTAGTTGTTATATTGTTAAATGTAATAATAAATGCAGGAAGTTGCTTGAGCTTGAAAGTAAGAAATTTTCGAAAAAGTTGAATCTTTGATCAGTGATGTCAAATCTGGAAACATTTCCGCCTTCTCTTTTTAGAATTAGAAATTATTTATGCTATTTTTATTTTATTATTTTACCAATTTTTGCTTACCTGCTTTGATAATTGCACTGCACGCCACTGATTTTTTTCCAATTTCATAATAAGAAATTCTATACATTATATTATTCATCTAATCACTAAAATTAGAAAATAAAACAAAAATAAAGATAAAAACATATAATTGTAAAAGTTTACATTAAAACGTTTAAAATAAAATAATAAAATAAACATAGACATGAGCTTTATGGCACAGTATATAGTAACTTTTTGATTACCAGTGATGTAGCCTCTACTAGAAAAATGGCCGTATATATAAAATAAATAGTAAATATGACGTACGTAGGACTCGTATACAGGACGATAAAAAAATTGTAACAGAACTTTATAGTAGTCGACAGAAAATCATATTTTAAGAAGAAATATATTTCTATAAAATATGTACTTAATGATCACTATTGATGCTATCGATAATGATCATTAGGTATATAGGTTATTTAAATCTCTTAATCTGAATATATTTTCCGAAATAAAAATAAAGATTTTATCCCGAAGAAAATAGAAATTTGTTAAGCATTTGTAGTTTGAGACAGTAAAGTGTCACATGTTTTCTATATTTCAAAGAACTTAAGAACCTAAAAACGCCATGCTACATACAATTAAAATTTATAAAATGTCTTTTATGGTGATAGAAATAAAAAATATATTTACTCACAGTCTATCAGCCGATTTGACTTTTAGGAAAATTAGAAAAAAATCAACCATATTTTTATGTTTTTTCCAATTTTCTCTAAAACGCTATGAAAATTTGAAAAAGTACAGGGTGGTGCCTCTCATACGCCGCGGAAGCTCCAAGGAGAACGGTAGTTTATATCGAAATGAAATTTTGGCAGAATATGTAGGTTAACTGAAAGCATTTTATAAAAATATATAGAATTATACAGGGTGTCCTCAAAAAAAGTTACACATCAAAGTTGTGTTTTTTCTAATGGAACACCCTATATATTAATTGATTTTCGGATCCTGAGAAAAAAATAAAGGTGAGTTTTATTAAAGAAGCATATACCTAAAATCTAAGGATTTTGACATATTTCACATTTTGTGAAAATAAAGAGTAAATTTTAAATTTCGATAACAGCTACCTAAATTTTAGTTGACCTTGTACAGCCTGATATTTAATGACGGTAACCATTGTATGTTAAACCAAATTGAAATTTAACCCGAAAAGTTATACAGCGTGAGACAAAATTAATATGGAACATTAGTACTTTTAAAAGTAAGTTACTCCTTTATTTTAAATGGAACACCCAGTATATTTTTCCGGTGTTCAATGGGGAATTTATATATCTTCAAAATATTATTACCTATAAGGGTTGCCTACCCCTCAGACAAATATTTTCCTAGATATTTTAATTTTTATGATTTTGCGTCAGTAAATCTTTATTATTTGAAAAAATCTAGGGGGCTGTGTGATATACCTTTTATTAATTTAACAAAAATTAAAGATTGTGGAGTAAAATATTCAAGGGTAATAAAAAAATACACGATTAAAACATATTTTAATTATTACAGAATTAAAACTAGATATAAACCTATAATTATGCGACAAAAATTAGCTGGATGAAATCAAATGCTCAAAATGCTTCCTTTCCTGTTAACTGCATAAAATGATTGTCTTTTCAAAAGGATCTTTTCATTTTAAAAGGCATATGTGGAGTTCTACCCGAAAAAGCAGCTACAATAATTTATCTCATGCTTTCAACACTAGTTGGTCGAGTTTTTTAAACACTGTCTTTAACATATCCCCATAAAAAAACAGACTAGATAAAATCAGGAGCATTTAACTATTCTATTAATTGGTGAATGCACACTGCATTCACCAACTAATAGAATCATATCAATTCTCTCTGATGTAGGATAAGTTTGCATTTTCGGCAAATTCCTGAGAATTTTTCTTTGTTTTAACTGACAAAAAATTATAACTAGTTATTAAAGTTGAACTAATTAGAAAGCTATGTTGAAGTAACGTCAGACACATCACAGCCAACTAGGTTTTATCAAATAATAAAGATCTACTCAGATCAAATCATGTAAATGAAAATATCTAGGAAAATCTTTGTTTGAGGGGTGGGCAACCTTAATAGTATTTTGAAGAGACAGGAATTCCCCATTAAATATCGGAATAATATACTGGGTGTTCCTTTTAAAATAAGAGAGTAACATGCTTTTAAAGGTGACCAATGTTCAATATTAATTTTGTCTCACCCTGTATAACTTTTTGGATCAAGTTTTAATTTGATTTAAAGTAGAATAGTTAGTTTAACTACATATTAGGCTACACCGGGTAAATTCCAATTTAGGTAGCTTTTATTGTAATTTAAAAATTGTTCTTTATTTCTAGAAAATGTTAAATATGTCAAAAACCTTACATTTTAGTCATATACTTCTCTTATAAAACTCACCTTTATTTTTCTCCTAGACTCCGAAAATCAATTAATATATAGGGTGTACCATTAGAACAAACACAACTTTGATATGTAACTTTTTTTGGGGACACCCTGTAAAACTCTCTATATTTTTAAAAAGTGCCCTGAATTAACCTACATATGCTCACAAAATTTCATTTCAATACAAACTGTCGTTCTCCTTGGAGCCTCCGCGGCGTATGAGAGGCGCCACCCTGTATAAGCGGGATTAACCATTTTAGAACAAGCAATTTTTTTTATGAAGAATACATTTTTCTCAAAATGTCAATAATAAAAGTTTTTCCTCTTGTAAAGACAATCCTGTATAATACAGTATATTATAGAGATTGAATTCGCCAAAATTATTATCGAATGTCATTTTTAGCCGTCTTTGACGCAGCTTTTTTTAGATCATACCGTAATTTTTTCTAACAAAGACTGTCAGTAAATATATTATGATAAGTTTATTTATTCCTACATAAAAAAATGATATCACGAACTAACAAAACAGAGAATTCGATCACTTCACAAGTTAAAATTAATATGTTTTGGCAGCACCATAGTGATTTTCTCGCTTTGGGTTTATTTGATTGTGAGTTGGTAACCGTGCACGTAGGCCACGTGACTTTTAAGACTACTTTTCTGCGTGAAGGCCTTCTGGCACAACTTGCACACAAACTGGGGTGCAACACCACATTCGTACTTCAGGTGCCGTAGCAAGTTCCATTTGTACTTATAACTTTTATGACACTTCGAACAAACGTGCTGATATAAGCCTAAAAATGAGTAGTATCAGTAAGTAAAGGTGAAAATAAATATAAATCAGTCAAAAATATCAACAATCACAGATAAAAATGTTAAACAGTCAAACTACCTACTTTTTCGAAAAAAGTTTTTTTACCAGTGATTGTATGATTGTATGTAATATGTATTTATTATTAATTTTATGCTTTAAGTTTTGTCTCCATGCTTTCAAACAACTAACTTGTCAGTGTAATTTGTATTACATATTAATTTTATACAGGGTGTCCCAGAAATAAGTCCAAGTAAGGGGTGGTAGATCTCGATGAAAGAAACATAATATTTTCCTTTTATCATTTTTCAAATAAGTCCACAATAACGGAGTTATTTTACTTTGAAAATTTCCAAAAAAAAAATGATTTTTTTGCTAAAATTTTGAGAACCACTGGATCTTTTCTGGATTTTCTTTCTTGTAAATTTAATCTAATACCTATGTTGCCATATTATCAAGAAATTATGATATTTAACTAAAAACCAAAAAAAATTCCAAAAAATTTAAAAAAATATATTTTCGCAAAAAACCTCATAGGCCTATTTCTGGGGTTGAACTATATTACCAGTTAAAATACTTGCACTTATTTCTGGAACACCCTGTATAGTCATTCCAAAAAAAAACATGCAAACATTGCATCAATTTTATAATCAAAGGCTTAAGCCCCCTCTACACATAAGGTTTTACCTCTTCAGTCAAAACGTATAAAGTAAAACACTGTGTACAGACTGTCTAAAAAAGTAACGGGACACTTCGTTTTTTTTTAAATATCGTTTTGTCTACACTGAAAAAAGTATAGGTACATCGTCGGCTTTATGATGAAAAGGCGTATCTCGATTTTTGCTACTTTTCAGAAGAGCAATTTAAAGAAAATCACAATTTTCATTCCAGAAGCAAAGGCAATAATCAATTAAAATACTCTTATCTAGCTTATTTTAATAATATTGTTTTTTATACAAAATTTTTTTTAACTAATATATTTTTAGTAATTATTTAGTTAATTGGGGGCATTAATACAGGGCATTTAAACTCACGGTCCATATAATCAAAATTTTCCTTTTATTCGGCCATTTTTTCTCGGACAATCTTTGGCATACCCGATACAGTTATGTGCAAAGTCTAGCTCATTCTAACAATGGTTTTTGGCAAAAAAACAGACTCTAAAATCACACTGTAAAAGAGAGCTGCTGCCATGATAGAAATTTTATTTTGTCCCAAGCAACCGTCAGAAAATAATTAGGTAGAATGGTGTGATTTTCTCTCGCATGCATTTTCATAACTTAAAACAAAAGGACCTATCTCAAATTCCATCTTTCTTGTAGTATAACAATTGGTATAACAATAATTGATATAACAAAGAACCCTATCTCAACATACGTCTCTTCGTCATAACGAAGAATTGTAGTATTTGAGATGGGGCAAATTTTTAAACGAATATAAAATGAAAAAGGTACAATATTGAGATGCGCAAATTCGCTATGTTAAAATATGACCCATTGGGCATGTCACGACGTTGATATCTCAAAATCGCCAAAAATCGAGATACGCCTTTTCGTCATGTATATGTATGTAAATTTACAAAGTAATATAAGTACTTATATTATTACAGCATTTTTCACAAGTAATAATAATAATAACTCCCGTATATAGCGTTCAACGCCTTGAGAGTAGCAAAGTTACAGCTTGCCATACTAGAGCCCTTCGGTATACAAGGAAGGTAATGTGGCTAGCACTACGCTTCAACCGCCTATTATTACCTCAGGATTGTGAATCCCAAGTACTCATTTAAGACTGAGTCGACCTAGGTACCCAAACTATTTTTATTTTAATAAAAATAGTCGGCTGATACAATGCGGGGTGTGGGATTCGAACCCACTACCTTCAGATTGGTAGACGAGAGCCTGTACCTCTAAGCCACCGGGCACCTATTTTTCACAAGTGACTGTTCAAAATCCAATATTTTTGCATGGTTTCAAAAAATAATGTAATTTTACAAAATTGTTATAAGTAGAGGGAGATGGCCGATTCTGCATCAGGAAGGTGGTGGAGGTGGAGGATTCAAAATTTCATTTTGGTAATTGTCATTTGATTTGAGGTTATAATTTTATTGACCGACATCGATCAATGTCAAAATTAAAAATCGGTTGTTGCTGTCAAACAAAACTCATATTTTTGCAAAAGTGCCTCAAAGATTTCATCAAAACGAACAAGAGCTCATTGCCAAGCTTATAAATTATTTTTCTGGAGAAAGAAACGCTGGTAGAACACTCTTGCTCATGGACGCATCATATCGACGCATCAGCGCATAGTGAGTATGGGGCTTAAGAAACTCTACAGGGTATTTCAAATTCAGCTCTCATCATTTTTTCTATGAAAAAACCAAACATTTTTTGTATCTTTAAATATCCTGACAAAAGGAAAAATATATTCATGTTTCAAAAATATTTATTCAAACTTTAAAATCTTCCATCACATTCCAGTGACAGTTCATATAATGTTCTTTCAAATCGCTTTTTTCGACATACCCTTCATCGCAAAAATCGCAATGAAACTGTGGCTTTCTGCCACACTCGTATAGCTCGTGTCTTCTCATGTTTGACAGATGTCTGTAGGTCTTCTTGCAGCAGTGACACTTGTAATACAGCTTCGCTAAAACCGTTAAACTTAAATGAACTAGAAAACAAAAATAATAATGGGGTGGTATTAGTTAAAAACTGTTATTTGTTATAATATCAAGTCACAAACAACAGCAATAGCACTAAGGTATAGGTAGACAGATATAGTTTGACTGGATTGGAAGTTATCTTTTTCTATAAATTTCGGATTTTGTAATATCTAAAATCACTTAGTTAAAATTTGAATTTCGGAAGAACAACAGAAAATTGAACAATAAATAATAACAATTATAATCTTCTGGAAGGTAGAACTCGATAACAGAATCATATTTTCTCTTTATAATCCAATAAAATTGTCATTTGAAAAAAAAATTACGGGCAAGCTGATTTTTTCAGAGTTTGTCAGCGACTGTCTTCTGAGTGTAAAATAAACAAAATCGGAAATTTTCCCATTGCGGTTTTTGAGCAATAGGGGTGTTTTTTTTAAACTGTACTACAACAAAATAAGTAGACGCAAATTGTACATAAGAATCGCCTATTGGTCTATAAGTTCGCCTAATAATTTTTTTTATAAGTTTATAATTTCCGGCCGTTTCATGAGCCCCTTGGGGTGGTTTTCAAAAAGTTTGTTTTACAGCAAATTGACCCATATGAAAGTTGTTCATAATAAATGGTTAAGCAACTTTTCCTCATGATTTTTTTTGTAGCTTCATTATTTTTGGAGATAGCGTCCAGTTCATGAACAAATTGGGGTAGTTTCATAATTTTTGTTTAGTTCTACAAATTTACCAACTTAAAGGTGTTCATATTAAGATTACATGCAGACTTCCCTATGATATGTATTTATTTCCCCAATAGCACTTGTGAATTTCCTGAAAAAAAATACATTTAAAGCTACCACCACTTGTTCATGATCTGGGCGCTATCTCCAAAAATAGTCAGGTTACAAAAAAAGTTCATAAGGCAAAGGTATATGTACTCTTATTTTGAACGAGTTTCCTAGGGTGAATTTGCTGAAAAAAGAGTAACATTGAAAACTCCTCTAATTTGTTCATGAACTGGACGCTATCTCCAAAAATAATCAAGCTACAAAAAAATTCATGAGGAAGACATGCTTGTTCATTTATTATGAACAACTTTCATAATAAATGAACAAAGGTTTTCCAAACGGGAACCAACTGAAAGCGGAACTGAAGAATCTGGAAGACTCCATCCGTAACTTGGAATGGGTGTCCTCCAACGGTCTAAGATACTCGAAAAAGTTCCTTAGAACTTATGACCGAGAAAAATCAAAGGTTTTCCTTGATTTAAGTAAAAACAATCTTCGGATTGTCACGGGGTTTCTAACAGGACACTGTCTCCTCAACGAACACCTCAGTAGGCTGAAACTGAGAAACAACGGCGAATGCAGATTTTGTGGGGAAAATGGGGAAAAAACACCTTATCACTGAGTGCGCCGAGACGACGACCATTCGTGCCATGAACCTTGGTACGTCTGATGTCGAGGATGGAGAGCTGGCCTCTGTGGAGCCGTCTCAGATACTGGCTTTTCTTAAAGCCCCGAGACTGTATGATGAGTTATAACTCGTTATAACTCAAGAAAGGGGAACACACAATAGATCTATAAGGTCGCGGTGATTAACTCCCCTCCTAAACATTCTACATTCTACGGGTCAATTTGCTGTAAAACAAACTTTTTGAAAACCACCCAAAGAGTTCATGAAACGGCCGCTAAGTCCGGAAATAATAAACATATAAAAAAATTCATTAGGCGAACTTATAGAGAATGTTCTTATGTACAATTTGCGCTGATTATTTTGTTGTAGTACAGTTTTAAAAAAATACCCCTATTGCTCAAAAACCGCAAGGGGAAAATTTCCGATTTTGTTAATTTTACACTCAGAAGAGAGTCGCTGAAAAACTCTGAAAAAATCAGCTTGCCCGTAATCTGTTTTTCGCTCTCTATACGGCCATACAATTTTACTGGATTATTACCGTTTTTCAAAAAAGTCCAAAATAACCAAATTATTTTACTTTGAAAGATTTTTTGTTCATATTTTGAGAACCGCTAAATTTTTTCTGGGTTTTCTTTTTTTTATAAATTTAACCAATTACCTATGTTGCCATAATATCCATATACAGGGTGATTCGAACTGTATTCCGGAAACTTCGGCAGCATATAAAATGCTTGGTTTTGGAGTTACAGGGTGTAGAAGTTTCATTTTTATTTCGATTTTTTCCAAATAATTTATGAAGTAAAGTCAATATCTGGATGAAAATCGGTGTCTGGGAGTTTTTTTGACATGAGAAATTTGATTTTGATGTGTCAATATGACTCTTATTTGTAGGGGGCGCCACCTACACGTGTTTTAACTGTTTTAAAGAGTAATAACTTTTTGTCCGTACCTGTATAAAGCTACTGAGTAAAAAAATATACGTTTCCGTGACTTTTTACGTAAAAAATGTCTCCTGGTAAAAATCGCCACGAGCAACCGTTCTCAAGATATTTAGAATGGAAATAGTCAATACATGTCATTATTGACAAAAAATAAACACGTTGAGTAGATAGCTATTTGACTGAAATAATAAATTTGGGAGATTTTTATTTTTTAAATTAATCATAAATTTTTCTGCAAAAAAATGATGTTAACGCAGTTTTTGTTGAATTTTTGGTACAATAACATTTTAAATTTTTTATTTCAATCTAATAACAAGGATTTAGTCAACACGTTTAGTTTATGTCAATGACAGGTATTGATAATTTCGATTCCAAATATCTTGAGAATGGTTGCTCGTGGCGATTTTTACCAGGAGACATTTTTTACGTAAAAAACGTCGTAAATGTATATTTTTTAACTCAGTAGTTTTATACAGGTATGGTCGAAAAGTTATTACTCTCCAAACCAGTTAAAAAATATGTACGTGGCGCCCTCTACAAGTAGGAGTCATATTGACATCAAAATAAAATTTCTCAAGCCAAAATACTCCCAGACACCAATGTTCATCCAAATATTGACGTTATTTCAGAAATTATTTGGAAAAAATCGAAATAAAAAGGAAACTTCTACACCCTGTATCTCCGAAACTAAGCATTTTAGGACATACATTTAAGGAACGTTTTTACTTATTATTTTTACTTTTTTAAAAAATCCAATTTTTTCCATAAATACCAAATTTTCAAATTTTCCTCCCAAAAAAAAACTAATAAAAAAAATTCAAGCTAAATTAAAACAACGACTGACTTTATTAAAATATTTAATAGTTACTTTTAAGTATTATAAACAAGGTTTATATACACTTACATTAAGACAAATACTAACATTTAAATACGATGCAAAGTAAAAATAAACTAATGCAAGATTGATAAAAATCCTCATAATATTTGAGCCCTATTTGAGATAGTTACAAAAATACGAACACCTAACG